AAGAAAAGAAAAGAAAAGAAAAGAAAAGAAAAGAAAAGAAAAGAAAAAGAAAAGTTGAAGCAGAACTGGGCCAGGTGATGGCCCACGCCTTCAACCCCAGCACTCTGGAGACAGAGGCAGGTAGACTTCTGAGTTCAAAGCCAGTCTGGTCTACAGAGCAAGTTTCAGGACAGCCAGGAACACAAAGAAATCCTGTCTCAGAACAAAACAAAACAAAAGCTGAGGCAGAAAGATGCAGAGGTGGCTGAGGCCTTTAACCTCAGCACTCAGGAGGGAGAAATACCCCCACAGACCTACTTATAGGCCAGTTGGGTGAACCAATTCTTCAGTTACAGCCCCTTTTCCAAGATGACTCTGGCTTGTGTCAAGATACAAAAATCTAACCAGCACGTTCATCCTAAGAAGAAGAAAAATCTGGGAGAATGTGTTGTTCACATCCAATTATGGAGCCCAGTACACTGAGTTACTTCATGGGTAACTCTGATACCCATGAAGAAGACTGGCCTTCCTCAGCAGTGCCAAAAGGAACCGTTGGCTAGATTTGTCTCTACCATCAGCCGTGTGTGTCCTTGAGCTGAAGGGCTCAGAGAAGATCCATAACTTGTCATTCTGCGTGTCGGGAAGCATTCAGTCAGAAACCGTGCTACAGTCTGAACACAGAAGTTTATCCTGGCTAGTAGGAAAAAGCCGAACAATCTAAGACTAGCTTGAATGGTGGCTGGGCGGGCACACACGCGCCTCTAAATAGATCTTCCCGCTACGCTTGGAGGTTGAGGCAGGGGAGTCATGAATTAGAGGCCAGTCTGAGCTGCATAAAAGCCTGTCTTAAATGAACTAAAATAAAATAGATGTTAAAAATATAACAGGGCATGGTAGTGAACATTGGTGAGCTAATCACTTGGGAATAGGAAGCAGGGGGATTGCTGAAAGTTCAAGGCCAGCCTGGACTACATAATTACATGTCCCAAGCACCCTTCACCCTGATATAAATGTGTGGTGGCTGTAAGAAGAGTCCACTGGGAGGCTCAGCGGTTAAGAGCACTGTCTGCTCATCTAAAGGACCTGGGTTCAATTCCCAGAACCCACATGGCAGCTCGCAACTGTCTGCAACGCCATTTCCAAGGGGTCTGACACCTTCACACTAACGCACAAAAATAAAAATTAAATTAAAAGAGAAAAGAAGATTCCAGTGTCCAGAAGGCTGAGACAGGGGTGCCCAAGAAATAAAGGCCCTCCCTCTGTACTCCAGCCCCAGACTGAGCTCATATCATAGTCTCATTGGAAAAGGCACAGTTGTGGTCTGCTGAGCGCAGAAAGTTTCTGAGAAGTCTGGCTTTCACTCTCTGCCTCCTCGCCCAAACTCTGCTGGAGACTTCCAGAGCCTCTCTGGAATAAGGACCTCCCACCTATGTGTTCATGACAGAACTGCCTCAAAGGCTGATGCAAAAGCCACGGAGCCAGTGCCAAGCACTGATGGCCCCAGATGTATTCTGGGATACGTCAATAAAGCCATCTTTATTTCACCTCCTGCTGTCAAACTTCCTTTGCCTGCCCCTGACATACCTCACTGATAGCCCCCACCTAACGGACATACGGGTTTCTTCTGGCCTTGATGCAGTTCCTGTTGCAATGAAACCACACGTAATTCCCTAAGATTCCAAGGGGAATATATTTGTATGTGAGGAGTTGTCTGTCATTTGAAGTTTTGGTTTTTTTTTCAAGACAGGGTTTCTCTGTGTGGCCGTGGCTGCCCTGAAACTTGCTCTTTAGACCAGGATGGCCTGGAACTCAAAGAGATCTCCCTGCCTTTGCATCCAGGGCACTGGAATTAAAGGTATGTGCCACCACCATCAGGCTTTAATTTTAAACTAAAAAATTTAAAAATTTTATTAAAGATTACATTTACTGATTTTGTGTATGTGAATTCTCACATTTATATGCCAGGGCATGTGTTTGGAGGTCAGAGGATAGTTCACATGAGTGGTTCTTTCATGATATAAGTTCTTGGAATCAAATTCCCATCATTAGACTGTGGAAAGAGCTCTTGTCATCCTGGCTCCCCCCCCCCTTTTCTTTTCTATTTCTTTTTCTTTTCTTTGTGTGGCTTTTTTTTTTTTTTTTTTTTTTTTGAGACAGGGCTTTTCTGTGTACTCATGGCTGTCCTGGATCCTGCTCTGTAGGTCAGGCTGGCTTCCAACTCATAGAAGTCTGCCTGTCTCTACCTCCCAAGTGCTGGGATTAGAGCACACCACCACCACCTGGCTTTCTTTTCTTTTCTTTCTTCTCCCAACCCTTCCCCCCTTTTTGAGACAAGATCTTACTATGTAGCTCAAAATGAGCTCAAACTTCTAATCCCAGCCCCAAAGTGAAGACACACACTTTTAATCCCATCACTGAGGGGGGCAGAGGCAGTCAGATCTCTATGAATTCAACACCATCATAGTCTATACATCACATTCCAAGCTGGCCAAAGCTACGTGGTGAGATCTTGTTTCAAAACAAAAACAAAAAGAGCCTTATATCATGGGCCTGGGTGATGGCAGCCAGGCAGCTTGCTCTCGAAGGCCCCAATGGTGGAAGGAGAGAACAACTATTTACTGTCATGTTGTTTTCTGCCCTTCAAAGGCCGATCGTGATGTGTGTGCACCCACCAGCTGAGCATGGTGATTCATGCCTGTCATCCCAGCAGTTGGAAGGTGGAGATAGGAAGATCAGAAGTTAAGTGCCAGACTGTTTGACCCTGGCTCAAACAAAACAGTAACAACAAAACATTTCAACAGAGGGGGGGGGGGGAAATCCTACAGTAGCAAAGGGACAGAACGAAGTCTGTCTTCTCCACTGGGACAAAGTTCATCCCACTGTCAGTAATCATTAACAGCTTCTTGTGACTCGAATTCAATCCCAGCAGTGCAAGCCCAGTGTAAAGACACAGAAATGGATGGTCAGCTCAGGCTCTTCAGTGTATGTTTCCGTAGCAGCCTCTACCATGTTGTCCCACCTCATGCCCAGCATAATGTTCCCATTCTTCCCTTTCTTGGCTGTCTTCTGACCAGCTCTACAGTGTGCCTGTAGACTTGCCCTCATCTTCTGGATGCTTTGATGACTGTCCCTTGGAAATGGAGATTGGGTTGTGTCTGTTACAGTGTTATTTTTTATTTTATTTTATGTACATTAGTGTGAAGGTATCAGATCCCTTAGAATCAGTTGTGAGCTGCCATGTGGGAGCAGGGAATTGAACCCAGGTCCTTTGGAAGAGCAGACAGTGCTCTTAACCACTGAGCCATCTCTAGCCCCTGTTACAGTGTTACTATGTCTGACTTTTCTACTTAGCCAGATGTTTGGGTGGGACTGTTTTCTGTTGTTTGATTTGAGGCGGTTGAGGCAGTCTTCCTACATGGTAGTCTGCTTACGGTGGGAGTCCTCCCTCAGCCTACATACAATGCTGCCCTGAAGTAGATTATAGTAGAACACTTCTCTTTACAGAATATCATGAAGTCTATAGGGGACTGTCCCCCTACCCCCAACCCCTGAACGCCAACCCCATGATCTGAGGACCTCAGGGCCTGTGTGCCACCCTCAGAGGTGTAAATCTTTTTACTCTCAGAAAAGCTTCTTTTTGCAGGAGATGGTGATTGACACAGAGACCCATAATTCGATCAGCTGAGATGATGGCATTCTCAGCCCTGAATGGGATGGTATTCACCTCCACGACTCAGGGTCCTTCGTAGAAGAGGGGCAGAAGGACCGGCCAAGTGATAGGGACAGTATGCACAAAGCCTGGGAAAAGTCAAGCCAGAAGACGTTCTGGCACGAGTTTCACCCTTAGCTGAGGAGCTGCTGGCAATCAGCGGTCACTAGGAGAGGGAGTCAGTCCTCTTCTGGGGGATGGCATCAGAGGGGTTACTGTTGCTCCAGTAGATGGCCCTGTGCCCACGTGAATACAGGCGGCACTAAGGGGACCCAGTGGGACAGACAGACAGACAAACAAAACAAACAACCCCATGGTTGGAGGAGAGGGAATAGGGTCTTGACTGAAAGGTCACATGAATGTATACAATTCCCAAACAACAGAAAGCTATGCATATTTACAGTTTTCTCCCTTTATAGAGACATCTTTAA